CGTTCGCGAACAGCGAAGTCCTTGTCTCTGAGCGCGCCGTCGTCAATAGCCTGAGTGCTGATACGCCTACGGCGCGGCTAGGAGCGGAGCTAAAACGAAATAAATGTGGGAGGGAGGTTCGAGTAAGACCGCTCGGAGGGCCGTAGTACTGGTGTGTTGTGCGAGGGTGTCCTGCGAAGGCTTGTCAGCTCACTCGCGGGGACGGGGGGTGGAGATGATTAAAATAAAATATTTGCAGCGGCGGCGAAGGCTGCACAAGATCGATACGGGAAGAGACGAGGGAAGCGAGAGACGACGAGGGACGATGAAAGCGAAAACAGGGAACTTGAACTCTGAACGTGAGCGGGGAAAATTCGTTGTTATTGCTGGTAAAACTACCTACATTTTATACTACAGGACACAGCAAGAGACAAATAAAATACTACGCAAACAGAAATTAGACAATGAAAATGACACGAAACTCGGGGAGATGAGACCGAGATAAAGGCGAGAGCACATGGAGCGTGAGCCAAGAAATTGTGAAATAAATTGGAGGGGTTGTCCGAGCATGTCCGAGCGCACGTTGAGACTGCAGTCAAGGCGTCGACCGACCCTCTGTAGCGCGGTTCATGCCTTAAAGAACCGGACCTGGCGCCAGGTTCTTGGATCAGATAGATAAGGGGAACACCACATAATAAACATGGTAATCGGCGGTGGAACACAATATGTAACCCGAGTACAGGATATGCCGAACGATGTTAAACATACTTTGACTAATGTTGAGCACATTTTCCTTGGGAATGGAAAAAGGCTCGAGTTGCACATATTAGCAAGTAATTGACCATTTCAACCCCGGGAAGAAGGGAGCAGGAAGCATAAAGTCATCCGCCAGCTCGGCTAAGGCTCCGTTGGGCCCAGAGAAGCGAGCAAAACATTCCCACTTTCTGCCATCCTCGAGCTCGGTGTGCTTACGCAGATAGCGAACGAGCAGGTTCAATCGGCGCTGCATTCGGGTAACGTCGGGCTGTATGCTTTCGGACGCAGAGATGGCCTCTTTCCACCGCTTTTCGAGGCGGGAAACACAAACCTTGGTATGGTGGCGCTCGGAAGGACATGTACCTGGCTGATGAGGATAATGGACTCCTACTTCACGAAGGCGATCCCAGGCCAAAGAGAGGGAGCAGTACCCAGCATAAACACGCTGCAAATGAACTGGCGGAATGTCGTCGCTCGGGAATGGAGTTGGAGTAAGGACCCGGGCGTGTCCTTTCATGCGTCGGAGTTGGACACAATAGAACTCCGCTAGGTAGGTGTACTGCTTGCTAGCCTCTGCTGCGCGAAGGACGCCAGCGATTGGAAGTCTGTTTTCGTCGACGCGGGTACACCAGGTCGCCATAATAAGATCCCGGTACTCGCAGGCAACATCGCCATCGAGCCGACAGTACAGTTCATGGAGCGCCGCAAGATCTTGCTCCGGGAGATCCATCAGTGGCTGCTTTGCTTTGCCCGTTGGGGGGCCGAAGATGCGGCGATAAATGAAAGACAGGGCCCATTCTTTCAAATCCGCCATTTCGTACTTCTCGGCGAATTCAGCTACTGCGATGATCTCCCGCAGGGCGGACAAGGGGATAACATCGACCTGCATGCCCATTCCCCTGTAGAACCGCTTTCAACGAGAATACATAGCACTGGACTTTGTAATAAACGCACCCAGCATATATGTACTTGAGAACGGAGCGAAATCCGAAGGCCTTTTCCCCCTCCAGCACGATGGGGGAATCATCAGACTTTCCTTCTTGTTGCTCGCCAGATGGGATGTCAAACATGCCAGCGAATACCGAAGAATTATGGACAAGATGAAATTTGTGGATCTGGTTTACGGTTGAGCTCGGATACAGCTATCTGCAAATGAAGAGTGTCGGGTGAATTGTACCTTGAACAGAGTATTCTGAACGCGAATGATACAATCGCCAGTGGGATGGTAATGTTTGGCGTCACGGAATACCGTTTGAACGGGATCGGACACCATCGGCGGGTTGCTCTGAGATTCATCTATGATGGTCGATAGCAAGAATATAGCGGAGGTTCTGAAAACAGTGAGAAACCGGAAATCGGCCCGCGAGAAGGGAAAGCGCTCGAGGCTGTACGGGCGCTCTGACGTCGCTCCAAGGTTCTTCCTGCCCTTTCTGGAAGCACGCCAGTATAGTCATTCTATTCTGACCGAGTAGACGAAGGCACTACAAATTATGTCAGATCAAATCGGAGATCAAGTAGAGAGACTTGCGGTTCAAAGACATCCGGCGCTGGTGAGTAATGTTGCGCGGATCCGGGAGCGTGATCGGAGAACTGGCATTGGTGAAAACAGCAAGATAATTAAATTGGCGAGGGAAACATAAGTAATTACATTGGCGCCGCTGGGTAATCCACCACCCTGGAACGAATTAACCCACTCGCGATCAGGGTCGGTGGGAGGAGCAGCGCGACCGTTCCGGGAAGACGGTCTACTTTGTGAGCACTGCAAACGATTATGAGATGAACTGCAAAATAGATGCACAAAACAGAGAGTGCCTGGTGTGGGAACACGTAACTGCGGGTGGCACCAAGCGGATGACGACAGGTGAAAGTTCGAGATGAAGGGCAGGAGAGAACTCACTCGCCCCCTGTGTATCTCATCCATTCAACGACAGCCGACGCCCGTGTCACATCGGGGGCATGTACAGCGAGAATTGGGACGATATCCCTTGCTTTGCGGTCAGAACGCGTCGCCGCACGCAAAGTCGAAACGGGAATGCACCTAGTATCCGCGCCATGGTGTAAGTTACTGTTTTCATTAGGGTAGGCCGTGTTGGCACCTATTACAGGTTCCAGATGCTGGAAGGGAATAGATCGAGGAAAGAACGGGGGTGCATATCGCGTCAGCGGACGGAGAATTATACGGAAGAAACCATGCGCGCCGCAATGTCACTTTTGAGAGCCGGGGCTACCCTCATCGTGTCCAACATCCATTCATCGCGCAGCTCGTCTGTAAGAGAGGGCGCGCGCGATCTTGCGTGAAGTGCATGACGGGACGCGTTCCACGCACCCCGATCCCCGCTTATAGCTATTCGCACCAGCAATTGATTGCACTTCATAAGTATCCACCGTCCAGAAGCCTAAAGGTCAGTGAGTCGGCCACCGTCAAATCTCGGCGTAGTTTTGGATGTCTTGCGACTGTTGACGACGCCAGATGACACCAAATTTGAGACGGGGCGAAATCGAGTTTTAAAACGACGGCCGGGAGAGCTCCGTAGAGATGAGACGGGCAAAGTACACAATTCCGCGGGGCTGAAGTGAAAAACGTCACAAGATAGTCATGCGAGGCGCTCCGCGTCCGAGAGCCGGCTGAGATGGACGTGAAAAACGCGAAAATATGGTGCATACGTTTCCATAAGACGAGAGGAGCTGAAAGTCGCAGGATTTGAAGCGTCCGATGGAGAAATCGACGTGAGATGGTGGAGAAGACGACGCGCCACGTGCCCGCTGGTGCGGTATCAGTGATGGCCGGCGACGCCGCGACGCGGCTATCTTCTACTCTTCCACTGCGCTTCTCGATGATTCTCTCGAACGCGTTTCTGCCGCAGTCTACGTAGGCAATGGGCCTCTCCCCTACGCGAGTTACGCCCTGGCTTAAGACCAGACACCGACAAAGAAGTACTTGAGCTCACGGACCTGCTCGAATCTCGCGCCTTTCCCGTGGACAGTCTCCCTCCAAGATTCTCTGACAGGCCGGTGCAATATCTCTACTGCCCTTACATGAATCTGCGGGTTAACAGGGCGCGCGGATACTCCACCATCCACTGTGCCTTTCCATGTCTCCGACGTCTTGAGCCCTTCTCCGCTCTTCGCGGCCCCCTTCCTTAATGCATATGGGATCCAGCGCCGCTGAATCGCTTTTACTCTCCTGCCAGTCCATCTTACCAACTCCACAACTCATCTTATTCTATAGCTGCTCTTCTCATCATCTCAAGTCCCGTGTTGACGTTCCTTCTGCTCGCATTGACTGCACGTGCTCATCCCTGTTGCCTGTTCCCCTCTGAAATTGCTCTTGCATACAAACTCCTCTGCGCGCGTCCAGTATTACACTCCTAAATCTGGATTGGCGCTGATGTCGCCAGACGTTCGCCTGTTCCCACTCGCCTAATCCCTAGGTCGGATCCGCGCAGTCGTCAGGGAATAAAACAAAACGGGATGTTCAAGGGGCCAGCTCGATCAAAGCAGGAAGGCGGAGGTGGCCAACGTGCGTGGATAGGCGACGACGACGCTGCATTTAGGTTGGCTGCGTGGTATGCGGAGTCATCGACCAAGGGGGGACTTGTGTCGGGAAAAACTGCGTTTAAGTCGGCGTTTCGACTAGGTTTTTTCAACAGGAAGTACAGCAAAAATTGCCGTAGCAGGTTCGCCGGATAAGTACGTTGAGAGTCGGACAGGAGTCATTGATCAGGACACCCATTTTAAACCATGGTGAGCAAGCAGAGAACTCGAGGTGTACCTTCTGGAGGAAGACCGAACCATTGACGAGACAATTAAGAGCCCTAGGCATCCCCACCTTCAGATGCCCAGTCCGCTAATTCACAAATAAACGTCGGAAGTGTGGACTCATTCTGCGGCTGCACTAAGGCTCGGGCAAGACAATCAACTCATAAGTCAAGTTGGCGGGAAGGAAGGTCTCTGAGAGTAGTACTAGGTCAACGTACGACACTAGGAATTTGTCAATGACGTCAGACCAATGATATAGCATATTGAAACATTTTTTTGGGGCTGCGTTTTGCGTAAGAGGCGGACGACTGACGTAGACAAAAAAAAGAATTGCTAAGCGAATGAGAATACGCTCGTCAGGATTCGAACACTGATGTACACCCTTTTATGGAAGGATGGGTGCGGTGTTACCGCTGTACCATTAGTCCATTCCTCATAATCCCCAGTAGAGGTCCGAATGATCAATTTCAAACGAGTGCGAGAAGAAAACAAAGGAAAAAGGACAATGTCCTGACCTTGAATTGAACAAGGGTCTCCTTCGGAAACTTTCAAGATTGTCCGTGAAGTTACAGAAGGTGTATTACCGTTACACCACCAGGCCATTTCACTATCCACAAAATCAATGGCCAGTGTCTTTGATTGGGTCCATTATCCCTAGCCACCTACACGAGTGTCCTCTGCCCAATTCTTGGATTGTTGTGGCCTCAACAACACTACGACGCTTAACAAATCCCAGGCGAGTTCTTTCGGAATGCTCTAATTATGTTTGGGACGCACTTGCATTTGGGCAGCGTGTGCGCGACGTGCCATGGTGAGCTACCGACCTCGTCGCGAGCACTACACAAGGCGGCCGCTGACACCATTAAGATCAATCCTAACCTCCAGAGTTATGATTGATCCTAGCCTAGGTTCAAGGCCGAAGAAAAACAATTATTCTAAGTCGGTTCCTCAGCTATCTGACCTTTAGTACTACATGATTCAGTCGGCTCCATGGCGATCGAACCGCGCCTGCATTCTCTCATGCCCTTGGGAATCTCCTTGCCTAGAACCCCCGCGTGTCTCAACATCAAAACATCGGAGCGTGCTGTCGTTCCTTTTTCTCTGCTGTCCGCCCAAATCATTTCCATTCTACCGCGTGGCAAGTTTACAAGAACTGAATGACCGGCACCCACCCGTGCCACACGCCGCCCGCCCCCTCCCCTCGCCAAGATCAAGCTCAAGCCGCTCCTCGTCATCGAGCGGGTGGCTCGTCGCGGGCGTCGACACCAACGCGACCGAGTCCCCGTTGCGCGACGTCGTGGTCGTCCCTATCCGCGCGCACCCTCAAGAAGACTTCCGAGTCCGCTTTCGATGGCGGCCGTCCTCCTGATCGCGCGCGCGGCACCGACACCTCCACGTCATCTCCGCCCCGCGCGCGCGGGGAGCACGCTACAAGCTGCTTGTGGCTCCGGTGCCGCATCTTGCGGCGCAGGCGGCCCGAGCCCTCGTCGCCGAGCCCCGCGACCGCGCGCACGGGCATCGAGCTGCGGAACGACGGGCGCGAGCCGTTCGCGACCATCGGCAGCACGGGCGCGTAGTGCGCACCCGCGAGGGCTCGTCGAAACGCGCGCAGAGCCAATGCGTAGCCCTCGACAAACGATTCGCCGCACGCGCCCCCCACGGCGAACGCGTTGACCTCGACTTCACGCGTCCCCACCGCTCGTGGGGCTATGTCGCATGTCCCACACCCCTGCGCCGCGCCCGTCCCACCTAACGACAACCACCCACGGCCCGTCCTGTGCAAACGCCAGCCCGCTCACGGGCGCGCGCACCGCCTGGAACGCATGCACGTTGTGCAGCCCTCGTGCGAGATCCACTACGCGCACTCACCCAGCGCCCCCGCCCCAGCCGCCCTCCAGCGCGCTCGAGACAGACGCGAGCGGGAGCCCGCGAAGAGCCCTGCGCGGCGGATGAGCCGAGCGTGCTGGCAGCGGACGCGCGCGCGAGAACAAGCGCCCGATGCTGCCGAGCGTGCGCTCCCAGGTGTCGGAGCCGACCGCGCCGTCGAGCTCGGGCGGGGGTGCTACGGGCAGCGTCGCAAGTAGCGCAAAGAGCCTCCCGTGCTGGGCGAAGATCGGCGCGGGCGGCGGCGGCGGTCAGATTCCGTAGAGGCAAGGGGACTAATCAGGAAGGTGAATCTCCCCGCAGCCTCGAAGGCACACGGCGTCTCGATGGCCTGTCCTGCTTCTCAGCATCGCGTCATCCGCGTGAGTCAGGCGTAGATGAAGACGCGTGCGGCGCCCAGACGCCCACGACGTGCGCAAGTATACGTACACAGCGTGTGGGGTCCTAGAAGCAGAAGATGGGTGAGTTACTGCCGAGGATAATGAAGACGAAGGAACTGAAGCGGCACAGGAAGACCACCAGGCGGGTAGATGCTCGACATGAGGCCGACGTGTACCGCGCCTGTAGAAAGGCCTAGGCATCGTTGGGGACAAGATTGAATGGGAGACGGTGCGCTTCATGAGATAAAGCACGGCAGTGTGAACGTTCGGCGTGAAGTGGAGGCGAGAGTGCGAAGTCACAGGAAGCAAAGGACAAATCTGCCACGTGCTCCGGCCATCCCCATTGATTGGGCGTCTAATTCTTCGCCTTTCACTTTGCTTTCACTACCACCATCGCTCGCTGAAGGAAGGCGCAAACGCTACCTCTGCTCGTCCCCTGCGGTATAATTAACTTGCAATTCCATCAGGAAAACCCGAAAACGGCAATCGGAGATAACTGGTTATAATTACCGACAATATGCGGATTATCGATGAGTATCCTTGAATACTAGATTGGCTATCCCCCTAGTAATTTATGTCAATTGCCCATAATTATGAGACATTATGTGAGTTTGGGACCGTTTTGAAGAGGTTTTGCTACTCAGTGTACATAGTTGATCTGTAATATCTACGATATCCAGGATCCAGGGGCATTACTAATTCAAAATGTGGGAATGTACAATCAAGCAAGGGGGAGTGAAGAGCTCACCATAGACGAGAGGTAAGTAATCTTCGAATGAGACTAGGGACATGCGGCAGGATACCATGATGAAAGAAAGGATGACGGGAACTAACCAAGCTAACATCCGCATGACAGATGCCGCACCTTGATGGCGCAGGTTCCGACGTCTGACGAGGCATCGACGCTGAGGTGTTGCTATCACTGGCAAGGTGGCATCCTCGCATCAGTACTGCCGCATATTTGTCAGTGCGATGGGGATACATGACGGCAGATGTATTGCGCACCTTCCCTGTCGGCGACAGCACTGTACAGGTTACCGACACATGTACATATCTACTGCTGGTGGTCGGGGGGTCGGGGGGTCGGAACGCCTGGATAGCAGCACGTGTAGCCACACGAGCACGTCAGTGAACTACGAGGGGAACGAGAGAAAATACGTAACATCTTGACGCCGCTTGCGGCATATGTCGACGGCGATGGGGGTAGTGCAACGGATCTGCAGGACGGAGAGCACCATATAGCCCCACGGCTAACGAATGTCGAAAATCAGTGCAAAACATCTCCAGATGACGGACGACTCACGACGTTGCCATGACACCTCTTCAATCTTTCAGCTTGGCATGGCCGGAGCCAGCAGGATCGGAGCCGTACAACAAGAGATGCTGCAGCGAGGTCTCATTTGCGATAAATGAAGAGAAAAGGGACACTCACGTGTGGTCGTCTCTAATTGAGTGTAATCCACGGCCCGATGGCATCGAGAAGCGCGCTGGGGCAGGATGGAGATAGTTCCGGGGTAGTCTGAGAAAGCGTCGGACACAGGAGGAGCATGCTTGGCATCTGCGTGCTACATGCTGTCGACACCGGGATGTGGGTCGAAGAGAATCGGGGCGGTGGACATGTCAGGGGGACTGAAAGAGGTGTCCATGAAGGAGAAATAAAGTGAAACATGATAACACACCGTGTCAGGCCCGCCCACACTCCAAGCCCGCCGACGAGGCATAGCTGGTAGCCCGTGAATGCCATGATTGAGCTTGCTAGGCCTGCAAAAAGATCCCTAGGTGAGTGTAGATGAGGATGGGGCTATGTAGCATACTCGGTTAGGTTCTGGAACTGCTTGAGGCCAGGGAGTCAGACAACGAGCGGGGAGAAGATGGGGGGAAAGAGAGAAAGATGTTTGATACTGTTGTGTTACGATCAAAACGAACCAGTTTTTGCGCTCACGTGCCACGGTCTTGAGCGGTGATGCGAGTGATGAGATTTAGAGCCGGCCCCAATGGACTTCACACTTTCAAAACACTTTCTATGACATCGGTCCGTTCATGTTCAAAATGGAATATAGAGAGCCAGGTGCTTTTACTAGCATCTTCAACTAAGTGATCCCCTTCATTCTGAGTAAGAAAAATCTCTGGTGTGCTGATTATCTGAAATTATGGCGGATTATGGTTGAATAGTCAATTGTTCATGATTGGCGATAAATGGCAACCAATTATGGAATCGGGATTTTCCTGATGTCACTTTCTACTCTGTCTTCAAGCCCTCCCGCACCACTCCGCACCTTCGCGCGACGCGCACCCCCTTCGATCTCGCTACCACGCTTAGCGCGACGGCGGCGACGCGAGTGGGTAGCGCACGTATATGGGCTATATAGTGTGCAATAATTCAGGCCAAAAACATAAAAAAAGACACACATGTCAATTCAACATTAGAGAATTTGACACAGCTTGTCTCTGCTGTAGAGCTTCCCAAAATCATGCAGCATGTGTTGATATGAAAAAGCGACACAACTTGGTTCCAGATCCTTTCATTCTTCTCTCAATGCACCACCTGCATTCACTGCTAATTGACAGTCACCGGGCTAGCGTGTGGGTGATGGTCAGCCCTTGTCCACCATTGTCCGCTTATCTGAGCTCCTTGTCTTGTCATCTCTGCGGCCAGCTGTCGGATTAAATAGGGGATTGCAGTGAGGAAGCCTTACCTGCACCTCAAGATCTCCAATACAACTGTCCAGAGCGACTGTACCTCTGGAACTTATGAATGGTATAGTTCCCGTGAAGTCAAAGTCACATGATTGGTTCGATACTTTGCCAGACCTTGCGGATAATGGCACAATAATTGAGCATCATCATCAGATGTCTTATGTCTTTTTTGAAAGGCTGATGGGTATCGGGATATCCTCCTATTCGACCTGACTTCGGCCTGCATGTCTTTGCAAGCCAGAAAATGAGGTGTGTTTTCATGGAGGAAGATGTGTTCACTTGCGCCATTTTACTGGTTCTCCCAACTTGAGTGTTTTAAGGCGATTGCGGCTGGGGTGTGTGATAATTTATTATTGCACAGTATATGTGCCATACACGTACGACACGCAGGCAGCGACTTCCAGCCCCAGCTCGCCTCGGTGGCATCCGAGGATTCGAAAGACGCAGGGGAGCGCAGGAGTGCGTCTCTCCCTGCGCTCTCGACCCACGGCCCCAGTCGCGCGCACAGCTCCCCTGCAGATTCCACCGGCAGCTCGCCCGCGATGTATTTCCTCATCCCGAGCGACGCCGCGGATCCTCCTCCCGATTTCGATGCGTTTCCCTATCTACCTTCCTTTTTTACCTTCACCTCCGACTTATG